AATATGATGATCTATGTAGAGATGAAGTAAAAGCTAAGTTTTTGTAAATTTTATTAGTACTAATCAATAACAAAAAAAAGCTGAGATAACGAACAAGGCCAAGGATGTACAGTTGACGTCAAGACACATATAACAGCCTTGGCCGAGAAGATGCTAAAACAAGAGAGAAAATACACAAGGGAGTGATTTTATATTGATCTGATTTTTCATTAAATATTAAACATGATTTGATCATAGTATAATTTTACCAGTAATTATTTATTAAATATAAAAACCTAAGCAGAAATTATTTTCTGAAATTATAGATGACATTTAATAATATAAATTGTAATATAATTTAAATAAGACTGAGAAAGAGAATAAATATTCAGCTTTGACCTTATAAATATATAGATTTCGATATTCATATCTGATTTGTTATTCTCGCTTTTAGTAATTCAGATCTTTTAATAAGAGAATATATTTCATCGAAGAAAATCAGAGCCATTGTGTAAGTTTAATCCTATATTAGAGAAAAGGACTTATTCAAATAAAAAGGAAAACCTTAAAAAGACAAAGATAAACTAATTAAAAATTAATAGGATTATTATAAAACAAAATAGAATTCTAAATATTTGGCTTCCATACAATCCCCTTGGTATTTTCCAATTATAGAAGTTAGGGATTGTTTTTAGCAATTTTTTCTAGATCTATCATAAATATTATCTAAGTGTACTATTCCTAAAAAATTCAAGTTAGCCATGGTAAAAAGTTTGTACTTTTAAGAAATCAAAAAAATCTGCCATTATTGGTTCAATTTTTAAATTCTGCTTGTCTCTTTGATCTTTAACATTAACAATTACATTTCAAATTAAACCTTATTGTTTAGCAAAATTAGAATTATTTAAAAAATATTCTCCTATGTTGCTCATATTTTCAAAATTAAGTTGAAATCATTTTAGAAACTCAAAATTAATTCATCATAATAATAATAATTGGGATAAATCAAAATCAACTTTCAATTTCATTTTGTTTATTTTTTAACAAAAGTTCTCTTTTTGCAAATTTATTATGCAAAATTATTTAATAGTTTAGAGTTATCTTTAGTCAGATCATTACAATATTTTTAGTAACCTTTATCAAATTTTCTAGTATCATCAATAATGTGAATATATATTTTTCTTCCTTAATATTCAAAATTTGTTTAAAAATATGAATCTAAATGTTTTAAATTTAAAGGAAGATTACATTCCTTACATAACATTGAATCGTATTTAAATAAGTCAATGAAACCAGAATTTGGTATTTTTCTTATTATTTCGGAATTCCATTATGGAATTTCATCGCAAAGATTTCTAAAATTATATCTATTTGCTAAAACTTACCATCTTGCATTTTTTAGATCTTTTCATTTAAAAAAAAATTTTATTTTTTGTTTTCAATTTCACTTGTGGTTGGAAGATTTTAAAAATTAATGATTTATTGATTTAAATGATTTCTTAGTTAAAATTTTAATTCATCTCTTTTTGCTTATTCAGCCCATCTATTAAATTTTTTCTCCTCTTTTAGCAGCTTATTTCTCAAAAATTTTTTCCACATATTCATTTTTTAAACATCTATGCATACACGCCATAATTCTTATAACCATAATGCTGAGGATATCTAATCAAAATAAGGTTTAAAATAAAGTTACCATAATTTATATATATGTCTAGGGAGAAGTTTTGATAGAAATTTAATTCTCCAACTATTTGTTTTAACAATTTTTTTCATAATATTAGAATGTGGTTTTACCTTAGATGTTACTGATAGATTTGGTATGTCTAATCCTTCATATCCTTCTCTACCAATATCATTTAATTCAATTTAATTTTTATATACCCATCCTCTATTTTTATTTTTATTTAATTTCTAAGATATTAAGCATAGTTAGTCAATACATTCAGAGTTTATTTGTTTATAATTAGGAATAAATTCATTAGATTCAGTATTTCATATATTAACTATCATTCCAGCTTTTTATCTTCCAATTCCACTAGTATGTTTTATTATTTAATGATATTCCTTTTTATCTTTATTAATTAATTTTGTTAGATTTAATCGATTCTTCATCCCATTTTTGGTATTTTAAATTTAACAATTTTAGTTGGAGGCAGTTATTTATTTGCAATTGTAATCATTTCTATTAGGTTATTATAAATACCCTTTTTTTCTTCCAATTACATCATTTCATTAATATTGGGTTATGGTATTTTTTGGTGATTCTTAATTTTTCTGTTTAATTCTGAAAATTTGTATAAAAAATATAGGATACAAAACAGATTAAGATTTGAAAGATAAATACTTTAATTTAAAAGATGATTTATAATATAGTATTTTAGTTATTTAGAATGTTATTGTAACGATATATTAAAACAAAATATTTATAAATTTATCATTCAGTGGTTAATTTCTAATTGTTTCAACAGTTTCAATTTTCGATCCAATCTTTTAAGAAATCACATAAACAGCTTTTAGATAAGTTTGAGGAGAACACTAAAATCAAGATTTAGAAAAATTTTCTGTAATGCAATTGAAGCCTATTTACCCAAAACTATTGGAATTGGAAGGTCCAAATGACATGAATTTCTCCAACATATTTTAGAGGGTAATCAAAGTTTTTATTCAGTTTTAAAATATATATTTTTTATAAAAAATAAATAAAAAAGATTTAGACAGATTTAGAATTTTAGTGTGAATGATGAGAAAATTATTTCTAAAAAGCCTTCAATTGGATAATGAATGATCAAAATTCAAAGTTGATGCATGGAGATCTGTATTGAAAATTCTTCAGTTTTGAATTAGCACAACTTTAGTCGGTGCTTGATATAATCATTCAATTTTTCTTAATCACATTTGCTCCTTCAAAAAATTTTCGATTGAGCAACTTATTCTGGCCATGCTATGATTTCAAATAAACCAATGACGAATAGAAAGATTTCTTGCCTATTGGAGTTAAAACTTTTATCATTTTATTTTCATCATTCATAATTTCTATTTTGGCTTAAATTATTACTAATTTTTTTATAGGATTTTGGCATGTTTCATAAAGTTTTAAATATCAGGAGAAGACACTTCTTATTAATATAATTAGAATACTTATCTAACCAAAATTTTGCTTTTCCTTTCAATTACTTTATTCATAAGATTACTATTTCATTTTTGTATCTCTTAAGATCAAAATCAGCCCTTCGATTTCTTGTTATAATTTTATAAAATTTCTTTGATTAAATTCAATCTTATTTAAATAGTTAATTAATTTTATAATGTTATTCCCTTTTTTATGCAACTCTTATTGATTTTTGCAATTATTTGAGTAAATGCAATAATTTTAATGGAAATAGTTTAGCATATTATTAATCAAATTCCAATAAGCAAAAAGTAAAGATTAAACCATTTTTATTCATAAATGTCTTATTAAAATAAATTCAATGGATTTTCAGAATGCTTTTAATTCAAAAAAACATTGTTTCCTTAATTAAATATTAAATATTTTTAAAACATAACATTTTTTATATTAAAAATAGGTCCTAAAAAATATGAAATAAAAAACTTAATAGTTATTTATAATAATGTAATTTTTAAAGTTTCCATCAAATGTTAAGTATAGTTAAATTAAATATTGAAATACTAAGTATTAAAATAATATCTAATCTCATCTAAGAAAAAAAAATTAAAATTTAAGCGGAAATTTTGTTTATTCATAACTAAATATATTTTAATTATGTTTAAAGTATCCAAAAGATAATTGCAACAAATATTAACTTCTGCTTTAAATAAAGAGGATGAAAATTGTATGGATGAGTTAAAATCAACAAAGCAGTTTGTAGAATCTCTAAAATCTAATATAAATCAAGGATTGGGAGATAATGAGATAAGTATAAGATAATAAGTATTTGGAATCAACGAGAAGGAGAGATTCATACCTCTTAATTCAATGAGTAAGATTTGGAGTCTAATAATTGTAAATAATGAATATAATATAGCAGAGACCAAAAACAATATTTTTTTAATGTATGTCTCTAATGGCATTTATTTTAACCTACCTATCAACCGAAGGAGTTTTTACAAATGAATGGATAGAAAGGGTTATTATATTTGTAATAATTTCTTTGAATCCGATAATATTATCAGCAATTCAAGTAAATTTATAACAACCTAACCAAGATAAAAATCAATGATAGTAACAAAAAAAATTCATATATTCAAGATGAATAATAAAAATAAGTCGTAGTTTTGAGGAATGGAAATGAGTAGACTATAATAGCTAGGGATTTAGTAGTTGGAGATGTTGTGATTTTAAAGTAGTATGATAAAGTGTATGTTGACGGTTTAATCGTGGAATAATCTAAATTATGTATTTATGTATATATATATTTAATTATTATTTATTTAGGAAGGCTTTTTAACAGGAGAGATTTTGGGTGTTCCTAAATTTACAATAGAAGAGGGAAATCAAGAGATTGAGCCAACTTCTTTGAGTAGTAGTCATTTTGTCTATTCAGAAAGCGAAGTATTGAAAGGTTAGGGCAAATTATTGGTTTTGGCAGTTGGTGAAAATGTTCATGGTTTTAAATTATAAAGTTTATTGGGAAAATTTGAAGAGGGAGAACCAGTTATCTATAAATCAGTAGAAAATATTTCATCTAAAATGGAAATAATAGGGTTTTTAGGTTCTCTAATTGTAATCATTATGGTACTGATCAGATATATGGTTCAATATTAAAACTCAATTTTAAATGGATATTGTACATTATCGAATATTTTGAACTTTATTATAGTTTTATTATCATGGAATTCATCAAAAGCATTGATAAATCATTATAAAATTCAATAAGCTTAAACTTTAAAGAAGATGTTAAATTCAAAAAATTTAGTTAGAATGTTATAAACATTAGAAAATTTGCCATTCATGAATAAAGTATTTTTCATTTTTTAATAATCAAGTTAATTATTGGTACATCATCTCTAGATGAAAATAAAATGGTTGTTGATAGTTTTCTAAATGATACTGATGGACAATTAACTTAATCGACATTAGACCAATTTCCATAAGAATTTAAATAAGCCTTAATTGATTGCTGTTTTATAAATAACAATCCAGAAAAAGATTCAATAAATTCTATAACAGAAGAAGCATTTTATTAGCTATCCTAAGAATTACAAATTGAAGTAAAAGAGAGAAAAAGTAAAGTGACTCATTTAATCCCTTATACAAGTGCTAGAAGGATAAGAGTAAGAATTTAGATTTATTTAATTAGGGATGCATTATTCAAAATAGCAGAATTTGTCTGAAGGGAGCAAATGATGTAATATTGAAATCATCAAATAGTTTTTATAGTTTAAAAGATGGGATAATTCCTATGAATGATTTTGTAAAGAATAAGATAGAATATAATTTAAAGTAATTAAGTTAAAATGCTGGTGTAATTATAGCAATAGCATTTAGAGATATAGATTTAAAAAATGAAAATATTGAAGAATAGATGAAGAAGAACAATTTTAAATATGAAACAGAAAATTTGACATTATTAGGTTTTTTTTTAATCTCATCTAAATTGAAAAGTGAAGGGAAAAAGGTTGTTGAAGAAATTTAATAAGCAGGAGTGAAAGTTATTTTGATTGGAGGTGATAATGAAAAGTTTATAAAGAACATAGCTGAAAAGACTGGGATTATGTCTTAAGACTCAAAAATTACAGAAGGAAATTATTTTACAGAATAATTAAAAAATAAAACAGAAAATTTTATTAAAGAATTAGAAGATATTTGTGCTATTAGTAGAGCACCTCCCGAAGTACATTACTAGATGGTTAAAGAATTACAATAACTAGGACATGTTGTAGGAGTAACTGGTCATTCATTACATAATAGTAAATATTAATTTAATTTTATAAATTAGTTGATAGTCTAAAATAGGCTGATGTAAGTTATTGTATAGGAAGTTCAGAAGCAGAATTAGTTAAAGAGAATTCAGGGATTTTTTTGTTGGATAATAGTCTTCATTATATTTATCTAGGGATCATTTTAGCTAGAAATCTATTGGATTCTATTAAAAGACTAATTCAATATTAAATTACCACTCATTTATCATTAATTATTATTTTAATCGTTTCATTAACTATTAGTGATACTATTATAATAACTCCACTATAATTTGTTTGGATTAAATTTATAACTGATTTAATTTCTTCATTTGCTTTGTCTAATTGTAAACCAACTACTAAATACTAAAAGCCTCTTAATAAAAAAGGGTTTTTAATAGATATTCTTCTTTATATCCACATTATTATATTATCTGTCTATATCATAGCTGTATGCATCTTATTTGTAGATTAAGTATATTTATTTTAATCTATATCTAGTCTTTAATGGTATTCAACATTTTTGTAATTACAACATTGTTTAATTTGATAAATTCTCGTATGGTTCAATTAGAGATCAATATCTTTAAAGGATTTTGTGGTTCTTGGATGATTTACATTTCAATAATGATTATTGGAATGCTTCAATATATCATTGTGGAATATGGAGGAAAATTAATATAAACATTTAATGGTTTAACTCTTTAATAATGGTAATTTAAAATTTTAATATAAAAAGGCTTATTTGTATTGCTATTGGATTTGGTAGTATAGTTTGGAGAGCTGTACTAATTATGTTCATCAAACCAATTCTTGTTAAAAAAATCACTTCTATTAATTAAAAGATTAACAAAGCCAAATTAAAGGCTAATTGAAATAATATTATACAGTGCATTAGAGAAAACAAATAATACATATTAATTTAATCTCAAATTATTCGTATTACTTTAACCTGTCTATCCTGCCTTCTATTCATTTATGTTATTTGTTTATTTAAGCTCTTTTTTTAACTTAATATTTTTAAATTTATTATATTCCTAATAGTACTTAATCTTTCTAGTTAGTCTCTTAATTATCAATAGATTTCATAGATTATTTATCTATAATTATTTTTTGATACTCTTTTATTTAGAAATATTTCAATTAATTATCTATTGATATTATTATAAATTAAAAATGAAATTAGTTTATCAAGTTTAAGAATTAGTAAACCATCATTAAATTAAAAATGCTACTGTTGTTTTAGGAACAATTAATGGAATAATTGAATAAATACAAATTTAATCAAAGTCAAATAAACATTGAAGGATAAGAATCTTATTATTTAACATTAAAAGGCAATCTATTTATTTGAGAATTTATTAATTGGCAATTCATTCCTAGAAGAAACTATTTCAAAATAGAAGAAGATGATAGCAAACAGGACAAAATAATACAAATTTTTAAAGAAAGAATGATTCATAGATCAAATGGACTTTTTCAATAATATAATTAGAATGAAGACAGAAATAAATAATTAAATTCTTCTCTGAAACATTAGTAATATGCGAGAATTTTCGAAAAAAACCATACGTCATACTCTAAAGCTTAAAAAAAAAATTAGATAAATTAGGGGATTTTATTTTAAATGAATATTTAGGACAATTGTAATTTTTTATTCTATGGTAATCAATTCTAAGTTTGATAATAAAAATACTTAAAAATTGACCTTGTGTTGTTAATATTTGTTTGGCTTTTGAAATATTGTTTGAAATTTTTGATACATATAAGAATTTTATCGATTTAATATATATTTATAAAAAATAAATTATATTTAGGAGGGAGTAACCAAATTTTTTAATTACTTTTCATTGTCTAATATAAGATAATTTATAAAACTTTATGGTAAAAAATGATTATTCAAAGAAAGAAGGAAATAGTACTTCCACTTTCATATTAAAACTAAAATATAATTCAATTAATGGCAATTAAAGCCTTTAATACAGAAATGAATAACGATTAACAATTTAAATATAAAGATTATAGTATATTATGAAGAAATTTTAAATTTAATCACACTATCATAAAATCATTTTATTATTTTAAAGTAATACCAGTAATTAACATATATGAGATAAATTGAAAAATGATAAAAGTTTGTAAAAACTATAGACTTTTAAATTGTTATGAACACAAAATCAGCAATAAATTAAAATTGAGAGATTCAAGCTTTGAAGTTAATCAAACCAAGACTTCACTAAAAATAAACCTTAATAATAAATTATTCTAATGTTCACCATTCATTTCTATTTATATCGTATGTATCAATTAAGATTAAAAATAAGTCATCAATTAAGTGAAGATTTTAGTATAACGCTAAAAAGCACAGTTTTTAATACAATTTTTTTATGATAAAAATAGGTAACCAAAATAGTAACCTTTTTAAATTTATAACAAAAATAATTATGAATTCTGTTCTACTACTTAATTGATAATTTTAATGGTAAAAATAAATATTAAATTGTTTTTTTTTATTATTATTTCTCGATTGGATATTAGCAATCTTAAACATTTAAATTTATTTCTTGTATTGATTTCTTCTTTTAATTTAGATGAATTAAACAGTTTTTGTAATAAGCTCTACAGATAAGACATTACTTTTAATTCTATAAAATGGATCACATTTTGTTGAAATCGCTTTTGGGTTATTTATGCGTATATTAGAAAAATAAGTTTTTTTAAATAAGCATTTAACTAAAATTTCCCAATCCTTAATATATGAAAAAATTATTCAAATTCTAAATTCTAGTATTGCTCTAGATGAAAGAAGCAATAAAAAAGTTATTAATTTAAAATATTTATTGATTTATGAGTTGAATTATTTAAAATTTATAGAAAAAATAAATTAATTTGTATATTCAAGAGATTAATGGGTTAAAAAACAAAAATAATTTTTTTTGCTTAAAATAGATATTTTTATATTAGAAATAATTAATGATAATTAAATAATGTAGAATAAATTAATTTAAATAGTTATGAAAATGTTGAACTAAATTTTTAATATATAAACAATTATGAAGAATTAATTATTTATTATTGAAATCGATCTATGAGATAATTCAAATTAAAAAATTTAGTATATAAAATACTAATTAAATGACCTTTAAAAAATTAATTATATATAGATAAAATTGTTTTTTAAACATAATATTGAAAAATAACCAATTCAAAATTAATTATGTCATTCTGCTTTCTACATCATTATTTATTCATATGAATTAAATGATTTGTGTAAATATAAATGATATTTAATTAGAACTTTAATCAGTTTAATAAAATAAACATAAAAATTTATTCCAGAAGAAAAAAATCATTAATAAATTTAGAATATACCAGAAATCATCAAAATATATAATAAATAAAATTGCTAATTCTATCACTTCAATTTATATTATTAATAGTATTTATACTGAAAAATGAATGAACTTGATTCTAATTTAGAGCAAGTAACTGTGTTTTATATAGAAGATCTTGAAAACAATATAGATTCTCAGACTTAACCTTAAGTTAAAACAGATTATTAAAATTTGTAATAATGTCTAAGAAGATTAAATTAAGAAAAACTTCTACTGTATAGTTTATTAGGATAAAGAAAGGAAGTTTAAGTATTAATAAGTGATATCTTAAAAAATGAATTCTTATTTCAAGAATCTAAATTAGAAGGTGCATGTTAAATTATGTTATGTTACAATTAAGATCTCTTATTTATTGTATTTTTAATACCCATCCTTGATGAATAATTACAATTGTGTAGGATGATGATGAAGATTTTTTTAGATCTATCTAAAATGGTTAATATTTGTTTTGGATTAAAATAATATAATTTTGATTTAACATAACCTCAAATTGAGAATAAAATTTGTTAAACAAAACCCTTCTAATCAAAAGTAATTACTAAGCTTTTCCAATCGAAAATTGTAATATCTTAAAATTTTTCGAATTCATTTTTATTATATTCAACAGGATTACTAAGTGATTTTGATTTAGATGAAATGGAAGAATAAACTTATAAATTAATACAAGTCATTGTTGAAAAAACATTTAAAAAAGAAAACATCATTTTAGATTAAATTTTATAAACCATATCTTTATCAATCGATGCCTTATAATAGTTCAAAATTAATTGGTAAGAGATAGAACATAATATCAAATTTGATGTTTTATCAATTGAATAGCAAATGTTCAAAACTTATGGAATAAGCTAAGTGAAATATGATTAAATTATTAAAGATAATCTTTAAGTTCTTATGCAATAATTTAATTCTAAAGATCAATAAAAATAGAAATTTAAGATTAAAGACGATCTTCAAGAATAGTATTAACTTAATGAAACACTTTAAAAGGAAATTTAAATCATACTAATTAGATTAATTTAAATTACTTAAGAATATTCTAATAAATTTTTAAATACTTTACTCAAGAATTTTCAAATATAAGAATCTAAATATCTTTACATTTAAAAAGTCAATATAGTATTTAATTTTTAAAGTAATGATTCTTCTATATCATTCATTTCAGAGAATGATATTTATAAATTGTCAAGATAAAATTTTGGAGATGATTAAATTGAAATTATTTTTTATTTTGCTTCTGATCATAACGAAACTTAAATATTTATAATTTAGAGTCCTAAAGGCTTTTATATTCATTCTATTTATTAACAAAAAAGTTTAGTTTAAACATTTATTGCTTATTTTTCTAATCCAATATTTTATTTTCTAGAAAAATTAAATAATAAATATATTTTGGGTTTTTTATACATATTTAATTATCCAAATGATTAGTATTAAGAAGTAACTTTTAATATCAAGGATAAATAGTTAATTTATAAACTCAAAAATAATCTATACCTATTTAAAATATAAATTATAATTCTTAAATTAATTAATTCATTTTTTAAGATTTTAATTTAAAAACACATATTTGGGATGAAAAAAAATAATAATTTAAATTATATGATGAATAAAAAACAGATTTTGATAATCTTCTAGTAAAAGATTTAATTTTTTAAAAAGAATAAGAATATCTTAATATATGTTCTTATAATTTTGATAAAATTATTTCAATTAAATTTAAGAAAGAGAGTTAATTTTTTATTGATGAATAAAAGAATTTATATCTATTTGTTAATTTTAACAATTAAATAACCAATTAATTTGACTCTTATGAGTTTATTAACATTGATGATTTAATTACATCTAATATTAATTTTGCTCCAATGGTATTATTGGAGAATTGTATTAAAGAATAAAACCAATCGAAATTTTGTGACATAGATAAATTATAATTAGTTGTATTTGAATAATTAAAAAAAATTATCTAAAATAGAATTTTATCTTTGAATTTATCAATTGTTTAAACATCATTTTAATTATTATGTGTAAACCAGTATGAATTTCCTTAATCTTAGTTATTAGAACTTTAAAATATTGAATAGTATAAATAAAAGTTTTTTTCAAGGATTCCTTTATTTCTCTAAATTAATAATCCTAAAAATATATTAAATATTTAGTTTGATGAAAATCTATTGAAATATCTTATGTCATAATTGGAATATATTCAATAATAATCTGTAACTTTTGTTGGAGTTATTGGAAATGATTAATAAAATATGAAATACATAATGGAAGAAGGATTTAATTTAAAGCAATTTAATTATATTGATATGAATTTGACGCAGGTCGTTTTAACTTAATTAAATGATGAATTTATTTTATTATTCTAATTTAATGAAGATTTTATTTAAAATAAGAATAGCTTTATTTTAAAAATGATATTTTTACTCAAAATCTGTTCCTCAATAATAATTGTTAATACACTTAAGCCTGAAGATTATTATTTAGAATTACTTAATTCATTAAAATATAATGAAAATTTGATGTAAGACTTTCAAAATTCTCAATTCAAATCAATCATTTTTCTCGATATAAAATAGAGAAATGTAAATCAAAAGTAAGAATCTATAATAGTAAACTTTTAAGTGGAACATACTGATGATATTTTAAGAAATGATTTTATGTATTAAAATAAAATCGATTACGTTTCATCTATAACAATAATCAGATAAGAAATAAAATAATTATTAATTTCAAATATAATCAAGATTGAAGATAGTCAATACACTAAAAATTGGTTATTTAATAATGAAAAAATAGTAAATTATAATAAAAAGAAGATAATAATATCACAATTACAATAGACTTCTAAATAAGCAAGAAAATTAGTGATTTAATATAAGAGTTTATAGGGAATTATATTTATGAATGATGGATCAAAAAATCTATTAAATAATATTAAAATTCTTTAATAAGAAATAGAATATTTTGTTAATTTATGTAAATAATAAAATCTTGATCTCTACAATAATAAAAATTAATTTGATAAAGTTAAGAGTGATATAAAAAGAATTAAATTAACACTAGAGATTTTAAATTAATAGTATTTGAATTCTTTGCCTGTTCATGATCGTTATAAAATATCGTTTTATAATACACTATAAACTTCTAATACTTTGGATAAATAAATTAACAAGCTTTTATAAAAACTAAATAATTATAGTGACATGATTTAATAGAATTAAAATTAATAATACTAGATTAATAAAATTGAATAAGAATATTTAAATTTATTAATATAAAATAAGAGATGTTAAGAAATAAAAATATAACATATAAAGTAAAATATAAAGATAAACAATTTTGAATTAATGTTATATGTATTAAAAGAATCATTATTATAATCTTAATAAAGAAATTTAATATGGATATAAAAATCTTACCCTGGTGCATTAACATCATTAATAGGAGCTTATGGTTCTAATTAATACTGTTTACAATTTAAAACTGAGGAAATAAATTATTAAAAATTCATGGAAAATGAGTAATTAAGATAGGATTATCTTAGTAATTTCAAGACTCAAATATCAAAAATATTTAATATTAATATTGATAAAGTAAATATTTTAGGGTTTAGAGAAGGTAGTTTGATAATTGATTTTAATATTTTCGAAGATATAAATGAAATATTTTCTCCTGAAAATAATGATAAATTATAATTTTTTTAATAGATATGCAAAGGTAAAATTGAATACTATAATTATTATATGGATGCTTATAAAAAATAACGGCATAATCAAAATATAATTGGATTATCTATTGATGATTTTAATCCTAAATTTAATATGAATTGGAAAATGGTTGGATATTATGATAATCGTGGACCTTAATCTAAAAAATACATTTATTATTTTCCTAAGAATTGCTATGGCTTTGGGTTAAATATAAATAAATATTCAGATGACTAAGATTGGATAAAAATGGATGGAAATCCAAATGAATGGAGAATTTTATTTCATGGAACCAATTAGTAAAATATAGCTTCAATAATCTAAAATAATTTATAAAGAGGATCTGGATAGAAATACAAGAAAAAAGTTGGGGAAGGGATTTATTTTTCAAATAAAATAAGTGTTTGTAGGGATTATGCTAATTAAGTAAAAGTGGGAGAAAATTATTTTAGAGTTTATTTTATGACTAGATGCAATCCAGAGGTAATTAAATAAGTACCAAAATGTTTATTAGAACGAGTAGTTTAAGGAGAATATTTTGTTGTCAATAAGACATAAGATGTGAGACCTTATAGAATTTTACTAGAAAAAGAATGAATTCTAAATTTAGTTAAGTATTATTTAATATTCATTATTTATTATTTTTTTTTAATTTAAATCTATGTAATTTTAAATTTATTGTTCTCTCATTTATTCTTTACTCCTCAGTTTAATTAAATATGAATAACTTTTACTGAAATATAATTTTAATTCTTGATCCAATTAAACAATTTGATGAATGTATAATCAAATTTGTAAAATATTTTATTTAAAGACAAAGAAATTATAGATTATTTTAAATATTAATAGGAAGATTTAAATTGAATAATATAATTATTTTAATGATGCAAATTAAACCTCATTTTAATTTAGAAATATACCTTAAATTTCTCAACCAAACAAAAAAACAATAATTTCCATTATATCCGTTAGCCAAATAAATTCAGCTTAAAATTTATCATAATTTTCTTCAATAAATATTCATATATTTATTTCTTAAGAGAAATCAAAATATCTTTGTTTAGTAGATATTCAATTTTCAACGATACAGTAGGTATTTTTGGCTGTTCATATCATTTATAAATATTATTATCATAGGCGATTATTGATTATGAACTTTTCTTATAATTTATTATTCCTTAAAGTTAAATTATAACTTAAAAGTAGAGATTTTATAATTATAAATTTTCTCAAAAATAAGTATTAACAATTATGTAAATATTATATTATTTAATTTTGATTTAGTTAAAAATTTTCAGAATTATTTTATATAGCTCTCAATATAATTAAAATTTCAAAAATGTTTTAGAATATGAATAATAATAAATATTATAAAATGGAAACAATAATAAAAATGAGATATATTTATTGATTATTTAATAATTTAATTCAATTGTTTTCATAATTTAATTCTATTAATATCATAAAAATCTAGAATTTCTGGTTCTTCATCAACAATATTATTAATTTTAAATTATTTTTTTCTTTCTTATAATGAAAGTATTCCAATATCTTCATCATTAAGAATTTAATCTTCATTTTCTTTAGAACTGATAGCACATTTAGAAAAAGGATCCATTGCAACAGTAGTTTATCTGAGATGACCTAGTTTTACACCTAAAGAATGACATTTTCTAATTTCATCCAAAGATCTATGTGAACGAATTAAAACATATATTCTTGACATTTCATATAACATGTTGACATATGTAAGCTTTTCTTCAATTTTAGTTCTTACATCATCATAAAATCTTTTATATTCATTTAAATCAAGTTATTCCTTTTATAAATTAACTTTAATAATTTCTTTCTTCCAATTTTTTTGAATTGTAATTTTAGAAAATTAAGGATAATAATATGAAATCATATCATTAATTATTTTTTCATTTAAAAAATAAGAATTAAAGAAAACAATAATGTGTCTAACCATAAACAAGACTGAAACAATAGAACCAATATTAGCAAGTAAGTCTCCAGCATTAGGATATTCAATAATAGTTTTCATTTAATTTCCTTTCATAACAACATAAAGTGATGCAAATGTTTCATCACCATATGCTTAATTACAAAATTCAGCTGTATTAGTTTGGGGTTAAATTAAAGCACCATTAACATATTCAAAATATTTAGGTGATCCAAAAAGTATTGAATCTTTAACTTCATAATAACTACTTTAAAGAAATGTATTTAAGGTATAGCAATTAGGTTTTTCAACTTAAACAAAAAATTCTTAAACACTTGATTCTATTGAACCATCTTTTGAATTCAATTATTTGTATTTAATTTACATTATAATAATATTTTGAGCTTAACTAAAAAACTAATTACTTATTTCTTCTGATGCACATTACTCTCCTTCTTATAAAAGTTCAGGTTTACATTTTATTATTTAAATATACATTTCAGATGTTGTTATTAATACACCATTAATATTAGTGAATCCTAATTTCATTTATGGGTTAATGTATTTGTTTCCATAATATGTTGTATCATTTGATAAATTTAACACTTTTGTTTCGGTAAATGTATAATTTTCAGTATACATTATTAAAGCTAAAAGTACTTTAGCTTCAAATGGGTCTATCAAATTCTATTCATATTTATAATAACAGATTTTGATCAAATCATAATTTATGTCTAATAACTCAAAGTTTGAAACAAATACAGAACTGGATATTTTAGGACTAAACTAATTGGTATTCCATAAATATATAACCCATGTAGCATAAAATAAACTAGCTGAACAAATAAGTAATGTAATAATCCCTCCTAAAATACTTTTATAAATCGACTATTCTTAATCTATTTGCTAAACTAATGGAGCACCAAAAAAATCTATCTTTTTTATCTATTTAATAAGATAACTCATATCTTAAAATTATATTTAATATTTATTTTAATCACAATTTCTTCTAATTCATTTATTTTAATTAAAAAGTATTATGAATTAATAATAATAAATGAAGACTCAATCAAATTTTTTATTTGATTCTCAACATTACTTCTGTTGATTTTGAAATCTATATCTACTTCCTAAATTTCTGCTTTCAATTCCGTCTTTTGAAATTCTCATTGATCAATTATCAATTTTCAAATTTTCAACATATTCTAATGTATACATATTTTACCTATTATCAATCAAATTTTATATTACTTTTTATAGCAAATATAAATTCATTGTAATCCGTTGTTTGTTTATTTAATCTCTAAGTTTTCAAACTATTTTAATTATAATAATATAAGTTTAATATATTAATTATCATTAAGGATAATTAAAATGATTAAATTTTTATATTTCAAAAACTATATATTTTAAGGATAAAGCTATAAATTTCCATTAAATATTATTATTATATTTTTAAATATTCTAATTATGAAATATAAATTATTGAACAATATTGAAACTTTAAAGTAAATACTTAATAGATTCTCTCTTAAATGTAATAATTATCACGCTATTTCATTATATAAATTATATTTAATACTAAATATTTATTTATTTTTGTAATTGGATTAATATAGTTTTCATTCAAAAGTTATTAAACATAATAAATTAAAAATTAACATGAATAATTATAATTTCTAACTAATCCTTTATTTGAATATGAAGTATAAAAATTTATAAAGGCCATCTAAAATATGAAACTCAAATAAATTATTAATACTTAGAATTTTCTGGAAATAAATATAATTAAATTATAAAAAATTATATTTTTTAAGAATTAACTAATTTATTAAAAT